AAGCTTTTGAATTAACCCAATCAGGTGAAAACAAAAAAAGAATTTTAAAAAATGAACAAAGTCTCCAAGAGATTTGGGATTATGTTGAATGGTCAAACCTAAAAATAATTGGTCTTCCTGAGAAAGAAGAGATATCTTTAAGTTTGGAAGACGTATTTGAAGGAATAATCGAGGGAAACTTCCCTGGTCTTGCTAGAGATCTAGACATCCAAATGATAGAAGCTCAAAGAACACCTGGGAGAGTCATTGCAAAAAGATCATTATGTAGACATATAGTTATCAGGTTATCTAAAACCACAATGAAGGAAAAAATCTTAAGAGCTGTGAGATAAAAGCTGCAGGTAACCTATAAGGGAAAATCTATCAGATTAACAACAGATTTCTCAGCAGAAACCTTACAAACTAGAAGTGATTGAGGTCCTATCTTTAGCCTCCTCAAACAAAATAGTTGCTAGTCAAGAATTTTGTATCCAGCAAAACTAAGCTTTACAAGTGAAAGAGAGATAATGTCTTTTTCAGACAAACACATGCTGAGAGAATTTGGCACTACCAACCAGCATTACAAGAAATGCTAAAAGGAGTTTTAATCTTGAAACAAAACCTGAAATACACCAAAATAGATCCTGCTTAAAGCATAAATCTCACAGGGCCTATAAAACCACAACACAATGGAAAAAAGAAAGTGTATTCAGGCAACAACTAGCATGATAAATAAAAGAAAGTACCTCACATCTTAACACTAATGTTCAATATAAATGGCCTCAATGCTCCATTTGAAAGATACAGAATGGCAGAATGGATAAAACTCCACCAATCAACTATCTGCTGTCTTCAAGAGACTCACCTAATGCATAAGGACTCATAAGCCTAAGATAAAGGGATGGGAAAATATATGTCATGCAAATGGACAACAAAAGCAAAAAGGAGTAGCTATTCTTATATCAGGCAAAATAGACATTAAAGAAACAACAGTTAATAAAAGACAAAGAAGGACATTATATAAGAGGATAAGTCCAGCAGGAAAATATTACCATCCTAAATATATATTCAGTTAATACTGGAGCTCCCAAATTTATGAAACAATATTACTAGACCTAAGAAATGAGATAGCAACAAAATAATAGTGATGGACTTCTGTACTCTACTGACAGCACTAGACAGGTCATCAAGACAGAAAGACAACAAATAAAAAATGGCCTCAAAATATACAAATGAACATAATGGATATTTACAGATATTTACCCAACAAGTACAGAATATACATTTTTCCATCAGCACATGGATCATTCTCTCAGATAGACCATATGATAAGCCATAAAGCAAATCTCAACAAATTAAAGAAAATTGAAATAATATCAACTACCCTCTCAGACCACAGTGGAAAAAAACAGAATTAACTCCAAAAGGAACTCTCAAAACTATACAAATACATGGAAATTAAATAAACTGCTCCTGGATGATCCTTGGGTTAATAATGAAATAAAGATGGAAATTTAAAAATTCTTTAAACTGAACAATACTAGTGACTGAATCTATCAAAACCACTAAAATACAGCAAAAGCAGTGCTATGAGGAAAATTCATAGCATTAAATGCCTATATCAAAAAAGTTTGAGAGATTGTGAATAGACAGTCTAAGGTCATACCTAAAGGAAATAGAGAAACAAGAACAAACCAACCCAAACTCAGCAGAGAAAAGAAATAACAAAGACCAGAGCAGAACTAAATAGAATTGAAACCAAAAAAGTACAATAGATAAATGAATCAAAAAGCTGGTTCTTTGAAAACATAAACAAAATTGATAGACCATTAGTCAGATTAACCAAAAAAAGAAAAGATTCAAATAAGCTCAATTAGAAATGAAATTGGAGATATTACAACCAATACCACAGAAATACAAAAGATCATTCAAGACTACTATGACCATCTTTATGTGCACAAACTAGAAAGTCTAGAAGAAAGTCTAGATTGTATACTTCCGTGAATAAATTCCTGGAAGTATACAATCTTCCTAGATTAAATCATGAATAAATAAAGCCTCTGAATAGACCAATAACAATCAGTGAGATTAAAACAGTAATTTAAAAGTTTTCCCCCAAAATAGGTCCAGGACCATATGGAATTACAGCTGAATTTCATCAGGTATTCAGAGAAGAATTGGTATCAATCTTGTTGAAACTATTACAAAAGATAGAGAAAGGGAATCCTTCCTAAATCATTCAATGAAGCCAGTATGACCCTAATGTCAAAATCAGAAGAGGACAAAACAACAACAAAAACTAATAAACCATTATCAAGTGGGTTTTATACCAGGGATGCATAGACGGTTTAATATATGCCAGTAAATAAATGTGATACATCTCTTAGAATATTTTTAAAAATCATATGATATCTCAATATATGCAAAATATGCATTTGACAAGATCCAGCTTCCCTTTATGATTAAAACTCTTATGAAAACCATCATAGAAGGGACATACCTCAAGGTAATAAGACCATCTATTATAAACCCACAGCCAACATTATACTGAACAGGTAACAGTTGAATGCATTCTCCCTGAGAACTGGAACTAGACAAGGATACCCACTTTTACCACTGTTTTTCAACATAGTACCAAAAGTCCCAGCCAGAGTAATCAGACAAATGGAATAAATAAAGGGCATCCAAATCAGTAAAAAGGAAGTCAAATTATTGCTGTTCACCAGTGATACAATCATATACCTAGAAAACCCTAAAGACTCATCCAAATGCTCCTAGGACTGGTAAATGAATTCAGCAAAGATTCAGGATACAAAATCAATGTACACAAATCAGTAGCACTGCTATACTCCAAAAACAGCCAAGCTGGGAATCAAATCAGGAACTCAACCCTTTTCATGACAGCTGCAAAAAACAAAATACTTAGAAATATACTTAACCAAGGAGGCAATAGAGCTCTACAAGGAAAACTGCAAAGCACTGCTGAAAGAAATCATAGATGACACAAACAAATGAAAACACAACCCATGTTCATGGATGGGTAGAATCAATATTGTAAAAATGATCATAATTGCTGAAAGTGATCAACAAATTCAATACAATTCCCATCAGAATACTATCATCATACTTCACAGAATTAAAAAAACAATCCTAAAACTCATAGGGAACCAAAAAATAACCCACATAGCCAAAGCAAGACTAAGCAAATCTGGAGATATCACATTACCCAACTTCAAAATATACTACAAGGCTTCAGTTACCAAAACAGCATGATACTGATATAAAAATAGGCATATAGACCAATGGAACAGAATAGGGAACCTAGAAATAAAGCCAAATATTTACAGCCAACTTATCTTTGACAAAGCAAACAAAAACATAAGGTGGGAAAAGAAGACCGTATTCAAAAACTAGTGCTGGGATAATTGGCAAACCACATGTAGAAGAATGAAACTGAATCCTCATATCTCACCTTACACAAAAATCAACTCAAGATGGATTAAAGACTTAAATCTAAGACCTGAAACCATAAAAAAAAAAAATCTAGAGGATAACATGGACAAACTCTTCTAGACATTGGCTTAGGTAAAGACTTTATGATCAAGAACCCAAAGCAAATGCAACAAAAACAAGGATAAGTAGATGAGAGGGACCTAATTAAACTAAAAAGATTCTGTGCAGCAAAAGAAGTAGTCAGCAGAGTAAACAGACAACCCACAGAGTGAGAGAAAATCTTGACAAACTATGCTCTGACAAAGGACTAATATCCAGAATCTACAAGGAACTCAAAAAAATTCAGCAAGAAAAAAAAAACAACAAAGTATTCCCATCAAAAACTGGGCAAAAGACAGGAATAGACAGTTCTCAAAAGAAGATATACAAATGACCAGCAAACATGAAAAAAATGCTCAACATCACTAATTATCAGGGAATGCAAATCAAAACCACAATGCCATACCAAGTTACTCCTGCAAGAATGGCCATAATTTAAAAATTAAAAAATAACAGATGTTGGTGTGAATGTGGTGAAAAGGAAACACTTATACACTGTTGGTTGGAATGTAAACTGGTATAACCACTATGAAAATCATTATGGAGATTCCTTAAAGAACTAAAAGTAGATCTTCCATTTGATCCAGCCATCTCAGTTGTGGGTATCTACGCAGAGAAAAAGAAGTCATTATATGAAAGAGACACTTGCACATACATGGTAATAGCAGCACAATTCATAATTGCAAAAATATGGAGATATATATATATCAAATTCTTTTTATATATTCACACCATGGAATACTACTCAGCCATAAAAAGGAATGAAATAATGGCATTCACAGCCACAGAGATGGAGTTAGAGACCATTATTCTATGTGAAGTAACTCAGGAATGGAAAACCAAACATTGTATGTTCTCACTTATAAGTGGGAGCTAAGCTGTGAGGACACAAAATCATAAGAATGATATAATGGACTTTGAGGATTTGTGGGAAAGGATGGAAGGAGGGTGAGGAATGAAAGACTACATATTGGGCACAATGTGTAGAAAGTACTTTTCCATGTAAACAAACATCCTCTGGTCCCCCAAAACCAATGAAATAAATAATTTAAATAAATAATGTTTATAATGGTAACTTTTATGTATATTTTACCATAATAAATAAGGAAAGACAGCCTTAAAATACTTAAGATGGTTTAAAAACAGAAATTCATCGAACTTCCTTGCTCTTATTTTATAGTATAAGAGCAAGCAATAGTCTCATTATTGTTATTATTTTCTTTTAACATGGGTGGGTAGGATGCCAAATATTTTCTCAGCTTAGGGCTCCAGATTTTAACTTAGTCCTGAGTAAATCAGTTTTCTGGGCCTGCACACGAATGTTAATACATTATTCAGAATAACTAGTTTTGTGGGAATTCATGTTCTCTCTCAAAGAATCACACAGTAAGAGCAGCATCTAGGCAGCATCTAGGTATCATTGGAGTTTTTTATTATTTTTTTTTATTTTTTTTTACAAGCTTTGATAGTTTGGGAACAGTGGAACACTGTGTCAGGACACTTTCTGTATTATTTTTCCAGCAGAGATACCATGAGAAAGAAGGCTTAGTGTCAGGGCATATAGTGAACACGCATGGTGAGGAGTTCAGGAAAAGAAGTTGTTGCTATGCACAACAAAGTATTTAATATGGAAATGCAAATATTATTCAATTGGCTTTATAACTGACTGATACATTCAAATAATATTTACTGAGCTGCTAGACACTGAAAATAAAATTGAACATAATACAGTCCTAATTTTCAAAAGTCCACAGACCAGGAGGGGTGAGTATCTTTTGGGAGGTATCTATGTCTCCATGCAAAAACAGGGCCTCTTCTTTTAATCCCAGAATGACTGTGAAGAGATATGTTAACTCCTTCCCAAAAAGATGTGGATCTTTATCAATTTGCATTTGCAACTACTTGTCGTTTAAAAGAAATGCATTATTTTCTGTCTCAAATGTACTTGGAATAAGAGAAATACTGTCCCTTTCAATTGTAGGGTGGTATCTTTTTTGTTTGCCAGGGAAAGGGCACCAAATATTCTGTCCTCTTCCACAGTAACACAGGTTGGTCCTCTGACTTCTGGGATTGTAGCCAGAACAGAGAAACAGAAGCTCAGAAAACATTTTTCCTTTTTCTATACTTCTTCATCTGATGATACATAATTATTCACCTTCAGGCCTCAGATTCGTATGCCATGTATTCGTATGCCTAGTATGCCATGGGGCATTTTACAAAACATTAACATCCAAAAAGAAATGTTTGGGGAATGTTCCAGACAAACAGAGATTATAAAGACAAAATGAATGCACTGAGATATCTTGACTAGATCATAATTTGAGGAAAAAAATATAAAAGACATTTTGAGACACACATTTCAAAATTTAGAAAATGGACTAGGTATTAGATACATTAAGGAATTATTTTTAGTTATTTTTATAATGGTGTTATGGGTATATAAAAGAATATCCTGATCCTAGGAAATATATGCTGAAATCTTTAGAGATGAAGTGTCACAAAATGTTTAAATGGTTTTGCAAATACATGTGGCAAATATGACAAAATATTAATCATTGAATCAATGTAGGTAGTGGTGGGCATAGGGTGTTCACTCTATCATCATTTTCACTGAATGTTTGAAATTGGTGACAAAGGAAACTGAGTTCTAATCCTGAATCTAACATGGATGCATTCCCCCCAGGTCTCAATATCCTCAAGTGGGAAGTAAGAGAATTAGACTCAACTACATCTGTGGTGCTTCTGGTCACATTGGTAAGTCAAGAGAAGTCCATTTCCTTCATGACTGAATTTATTTCCTGATACTGTTTTCTAAAAAATCCATCACTGCAGAATATTAAGGGCTGATTCATCAGTCTGAGTGACCATATCGGGGGCCACTTTCTCCCTCAAAACTTCCTGGTTTCTCACCCAAGTTGAGAAGTCAAAGAGAAGGCCTTCAGAGACAAATAACTATTCTTAGGGCATAATCAATTTCACTTACTGACATAGATATTTCACAAGAAACTGTGAGCTTAAGAAGTTGTTTCAGAACCCGGTTCAATCTTATTTACATTTTCATCCATTGCTTTTTTAATAGTTTTAGATTTACAGAAAAGTTACAAAAATGGAACTGAGAGTTTGAATGTACCTCATACCTAATTTCTATTATTAGCACCTTATATTTGTCTAGGACATTTATGTACAACAAATGAACCAATATTGAAGTATTATTAACTAAAGTCCATACTTGATTCAGACTTCTTCTATTCCAGGATACCACATTACATTTAGTTATCATGCCTCTTTAGGGTCCTTATGGCTATGACAGTTTCTCAAACTTTCCTTTTATTTAATGAGAGTTTTGAGGGGTATTTTGTAGCTATCTCTCAAATGAGACCTGTCCAATGTTTTTCTCATGGTTATGAGTTTTGGGGAACAAGGGCACAGAAGAATAACGCCATTCTCATCACGTTATATGAAGGATATATACTATCAGCTTGACATATCTGGTTTTTCCAAGGTGTATTTCAATATGGTTTTATGTACCTCCCCCCTGGGCAAATTACAAGGGGATTTATCTCTAATTTTCACAGTGAGAACCCTGTAGGGTCTCTGGAGGTAAAACCCACAAATGTATAGGGCCCCGAAAGGCTGAGCCCCCAGGAGTTTTTAAGTCTTTGCTGGTCCATACTAAGCCTCCAGAAATCCAACAAAGTCCTCATTAAATGTTCTTACCAGTTTACGGCTGCAGCAGCATCTGCTCCCAGTAAACAGATCACAGCTATATCTCTCTGGATGCACCTGTTTCTTCACATTTTGGGTGGCTGTTTGACCTGCAAGTTAAGATCTCTGATAGGTTCAAGAAAGGTAATTGATTTTTGATTCATCTAGCTTTTTCTTGTAAGACTGAGAGGGATGTCTTCCAAGCTTGTTACATGTCATAGCTGAAAAAATTTACTGTTTTATAAAGCAAGCTTATTCAGCATCACTCTTAAAGGATATAAAATCACTGGCCTAAAAACCTTGCTTTAATAGGCAGGTGATCTTTGAATTGAGTTATCTGCTAAGCTGGTTTCACTGTATGAAATTTAGAGTGCCTTGGAAACCAGCTTTCAACAAAAATGTATTTCTCTCTTGGCTAATTTGGCCTCGTTCTGTTCAGTGGTAGCGTCGTAAAAGGATAAAATCATAGGAGCTTGCATCCAAAGATACAGACTTTTGTTCTCTACAGCAAAAAATCTTACTAGACCATCTCTTTCTCTCTCTCTGACTCAGTTTCCTCTTTTGTCAAATTTATTGGCCACAGGGATGTCCTCTGATTTATGTTTTCATCTTAAGTGTCTGGCACAAAACCTTGTCCTTTATAGGCCTCATTGAAAACTGAATTGAAATGCCTGCACAATCCATCTCATGGTGTTATTATGAGAATTAAACAACATAATATACATGTAAGCTCTCTGCAAACTTCAAAGAGCCTTACAAACACTGGTCCTTTATTTATCAGTCATCAATCATGAATGTATGTCTGCATGCATGCAGAGATTTCTATGGAGGATTTTCATTTGTTTGTTTGTTTGCCTCCTTGTTTGTGTTGGGGTTTTTTGGACATTGTGCAGGTAAGGAGGAAGGCAGTATTAAAGAGTTAATTTTTATTCAAATTATAGATTGATTTCAGTTATAGCAACAACACTATACATTCCTCAGCTTGTCCAATTAAAAAACCTGGCAAGTGTTTTGATATTTGACAGCTCTGCTGTCAAGCAATTCTGTTCTACAGTTAATCATGGCACAGCCATTTCTTCAACTACTGCCACAATATAATGGCATCATTGTATATGCAGACATAGTATACTTTTATACTGTTTAAAAGGAGGCAGAGCCAATGAACATTAAAAATTTACTACTCTGTAGATCGCAGTTGTATGGCCAAAATTTATTATTAAACCCATTCTATTTTAATACTATCACTGCTCCTATCTGAGCTTAGATGCAAGTGTTCAGATACTGCAGTTTTCCATTTCCTAGTTTGAGAAATTAAGATTCTTCTTTCTTTGAGTTGTTTTGCAGGTTGGCCAGATAGGTGTACTATACAACGACTGGGATCCTTTAATGATTGAATGTCAGCTCCTGGGTTTTGATTGTTGTTGTGTCTGGATCAGTGTTAGACACAACTATAGCAACTACCCCCTTTCCTCCCCCACTGTCAGTGACTTCCTGAGGCAAACAAGTTTGCCACAAATCAAAATACTTGTAACAAACATCTCTGTGAACCTGTTCCATCCCTCCTTGGCAACTTGCCACTTTGCTTCACTCTTAGCACTGAACACCCTGCATTTACCAAATGGCTTGGTATCTTTGGTAGATTAACCATTTCATGGGAATTCTACCCTTCCGCCAGAATCATGTGTTTCTCATAGAGAGGCATGTTGCATTTAAAGCAGTCTGAGGCAGCTTTGAACAAATATATTACCACTGTTTTTCATTAGTATCAGTTCCTGCTTACATGTCTAATTTGTCAAGCAATCTGATTACAAATGACATAAATGGTCATCTAGCAACTACAGTTACATTGGTTAAAATATTTGTATAAAAATAGATTTTATCTTTTATCTTTAGAGGTAATTACAACCACTTACTCTGATGACAGTGATTTTTCAGATTTTCCTCTTTACAGACTTCCATGTTCAACTGCACTACTAATGCTTTAAGCAACTTCATAATTACCCCTGCTGCAACACTGGGAGTTGCTCTTGAATTGCTCCCCCCAACAATGTGATACAAACACAATTTCAAAACAACTTCATTTTAATTTTTTAAAAAATGAACTGGAAAGTGTGCTTTATATATGCTGATAAATACCATAATAAGGTCCTGCTGTCACTTAGGGAAGCAAGTGAATGTAATTGTTGAGTAAACTTAGTTCAGACTATATTAACTATGTGCGTAAGCAAGGAGTGGGTGCCTGAGCCTAAGACTCATATAAAGCAAGTTGAAATTTTCAAGCTCTGAATTTTTTTTTCTACTGACTTATGATCTGATCTTAAATCTGTTCTGTGCTTTAAAAAAAAAAAACTGATCATTTCTTATTCTAGAAATGCCAGAAATAATGCAACACCACAGTTTCACACTTAGAGATTGCTGGCTCTGCACTTGTCAAAACCAAAGTACGTGCAGTTTCATATGCTAGTCTGGTTGGGCGGTATGGTAGAAGTTGTGTGGCATGGTAGCCTCACAGGATAATAGTAATTCTGGATAAGATTATTCTTGCTATGGTTCCTGGTCCTGATGTTCCGTCTCTTCATACATGTGTGTATAACTGCTCCTAAACCAATGCTCCTAAAGTCAATCCTTATCTGTCTTCATAAGGGAAGGAAAGGGAAAGGAAGAGGAGGGGAGGAAAGAGAAGGAGAGGCAGGGAAGAGGAGATTGTCCCTACTTTCAGTTTTGCATTCCAATAGTGGGAGAGAAGGGGAGGGGAGGGAAAGGGAGAGGAGGGAAAGGGAGGGGAGGGGAGGGGAGGAGAGGGGAGGGAAAAATTGTCCCTACTTTCAGTTTTGCGTTCCAGTAGTGAAGATTAATTTTTATCATTGTATTCTCTCATTAGATCCCTCTTATCACCAACATCATTTAGTTTAGTAATAACTATACTCTGCAGTCATAAAACAGTGCAATTATAAAGAATCTCTCAAGAACCAAGTTTACACACATGACATCATCAACACTAATAACCATCTAGCTAAAGTAACTAGCAATTTATTAAAATGATGCACCAAATCAGCACTGGAGACAGTCTTTACATATACCTTCTCAGCTACTCATCAGGAATGTGATGAAATGTAGTTTTTGAAATTTAAATTAATGCTTAAGAAATGATTGTACCCAAAGTAAGTAATACTTAAGTTTATAGTAGTCACATAGCTTTTCTGACTCTGAATTTTCTCCTCTTTAAAATGAGAAGCCTGGGGCCGGGCATGGTGGCTCACACCTGTAGTCCCAGCACTTTGGGAGGCCGAGGCGGGTGGATCACGAGGTCAAGAGATCGAGACCATCCTGGTCAACAAGGTGAAACCCCGTCTCTACTAAAAAAAAACAAACAAAAAATTAGCTGGGCACGGTGGTGAGTGCCTGTAATCCCAGCTACTCAGGAGGCTCAGGCAGGAGAATTGCCCGAACCCAGGAGGCAGAGGTTGTGGTGAGCCGAGACCGCGCCATTGCACTCCAGCCTAAGTAACAAGAGCGAAACCCCATCTCAAATTAAAAAAAAAAAAAAAGGAGTCTGATACCTACCTTTTCTGATAATAATAGCTACCACATTTTGAACCTCTGCCTTGTGCTAGACACTGTGAAGGAGTCTACAATCATTATCTCCATGAACCACTCCATTCTGTAAGCTAAAGTTACCTCCATTTTAAGATGAAAAACTCAGGTATAAGTTAAATAACTTGCTCCAAGGCCATATGTAAAGCATCAGAAATGTTCTATAAGGCAGTATTTATGAGATTTAGTCATTTGCCCTCCACCTTCAGGACTTTTCCTATATCTGCTTACCACATATGTGTTATATATTTAATATTTTCTGTAAGTTGACTCACTTTTTTACTTAACTTTTTTGTTTGTTTTGAAAGGAAACTTTAATGACTTGGAAATGGAAAACCAGCATTAGTACCATGAATAAAAATTAAATTGTAAAAATGAATACAGTAAGATCAAAAGAATATTATTAAAGTTTAACTCACTTCCATTGCCCACCTGCTGAACATTCTAAGCTTAAGTGAGATTTGTTGTTAAAAAGGACATCAGCAAGGGGAGAAAAGTGTTAACAGCACTGAGGTAAATACCGTACTTTGTCCTAATATAATCAGGATTGGAAGATTATTGAAAACAGAAGACACTGCGCAATATGCGTTCAAGGCTATATCATGCCATAATCCTGTACTACCTAAGCCATTTTGAAGGCTGGCAGAGAAAGATGTTCCATTTTGGGGAAACAATGCTGTAAAGAAAGTAAGGGAGAAAAAAATCCAGAATCATTCCCATGTCCTCATATCTAGCAATTTCAAACCCTATTTCTATTCACAGTCATTCATGTCCTCATATCTAGCAATTTCAAACCCATATCTATTCACAAACTGAAAGTGATTCATATTCCCCCTCCACTAAAATTTAAGAATGAACACTGGGCAAAAAGAATATTGATCGCAATGGAACTTAGGTTCCCTATGCTGTTCTCTAGCATGAATAGTGCCAAATGGTAGATGTTGGATGCTGTCATGTATATACTCTGAAGCTTTTGTTAAAATAGTTTCCTCTTTGGCTGTCCCAAAGATTTTTGTAGGTGATCTGATAATCCTTAATAGAGCTCTTTCTGCTTAAACCAGCTCTCGTGGATTCTGTTATTGGAAAGTAAGAATCTTGCAGACACAGGAAAGTAGAGTGAACTATCCCTTGTTCACTCTCAGACAAAAAAAAAAGCGTTTTCTTTTTCTTTATACTCTAGGATGCCAAAAAAGCACACAAATCCTGGAAACCAAAATATTATTTCCTAAATTGGATGGAATGGGAGTGACCCATGAAATCACTTAACAATTTTCTCACAAGATCACTTAAAAACTACAGACCTTTACCACCTGTGGAGCAGTGGGTTCACAGAATACATTAAGAGGAGGAAAATTTTTGCTTTAGATGGCCCTGATTCAAATCATGAATAGCAAGGGAGAAAGGTAAATTTCTATGCACAAAATAATGTGCCTAATGATTGGATCTTCCCAGTAGATTTATAAGAAGAAGAATGACAAGTATGTCGTGTGTTTAAATTATGTGAGAAGAAGCAATA